AAAAAAAAAAAAAAAAAAAAAAAAAAAAAAAAAAAAAAAAAACACCACAGAAAAATAACAACTTATCAGCAAGGAGTCAATTTTCCAAACACTAACTGTCAAGCGCTGGTTTACTACCAAGTAAAGTTTCATTGACTGTACCATAGAAGAAAAGGTAAAATCAATGTCCAGAAAGCCAATGGAAATATGTGTTTTAAAAAACTGTTATATTCCTAGGTGAGTGCACTACGCGACATAAAGAGAAAGAAAGGAAAAGGAACAAGAAGAGCCAGTGGTATATATTTTTTTCATATTGCTATAAATTAACAGAAAACCTCTTTCAAGAGAGAAAATTAGTCCATCTACCAGAACACTGCAACTATTGGGCGGATTTCCTGCCCAGTCACTACAGTTCATCCTCTTGGCCACAGGATGGCAATGTTGATCTGCAATAATAAGCCAAATTTCTTGTCCAGCAGAATGCAACGCTAATTTCCAACGCAGCAGATAGAATCTAAAAATCTAGGTCTCCTGGATCAACTTAAAATTCAAAATTCTTGCATTTTAATTTCATGGGATTAAAAAAAATAAAACCAAACTGATCCCATTTCCTTTGTATTCATATACGGGAAAGGACAGTTGGGTTGCAAATCTTGGCACATAATGATATGATTATCCTTGCTATGAGAGGGCTGGGTAATTTCAGTGGTGATTTTGTCAGAGTGGCAGTCTGTCCTTCTGGGAAAACTGATCTTTTCCAGGAAGAGTTAAGGCAAGCCTAAGAAAAGAAAGAAATATTTCCATCTTTTGGTATTTGCCACCATCTGAATGTAAATGTTCAGGCAGGACCTCCTGAAACGTTTCTTGGTTCTCAATTCCCAGATTGCAAACTCAGCTGTCTGCAAGAGCAGCGCTGCCCTGCAGTGGTAACATGGGGCTCTGAAGGTTTCACTGGCAAAAGGTTTAAACAACAAAAGAAAAAATCTTCAGTGGAAAAGACTGGCATAAATAGTCTCCCCAAATTAGGTTTGTTCTTCATCCCTTTACAAGTATTTGAATCTAACATAGCCTGTAAACAGGAATAACTATGCATCAAGAATAGCCCAGTGCTGGGCTCCTACACACGGTGATGCCCTCTTTGTCAGCTCCAATTCTTCAGCCTAACCTTCAAGGAAAGAGTCCCTCAGTCTGTAGCTAAAGGTGGGAGGGAAATTGCAAAGTCTAAATTTCCCCACTTGATCCAAAGAGGATTTTCCAGACTGTCTCAGCAAACAGAAAAAAGGAATAAAAAAAAAATAAAAAAATAAATGTCGCTTCGAAGAAGTACATCTCACTTATGTTCACAGAATCAAATCAAAGAACATGTCAGATCCCAACTCACATGTTAAGAAGCATTGCTTGGAAAAAACAATCCATATCTGTTTATCACAAGAGCTAGGAAGCCTAGCTGTTGCAAACTTTTCCCTTGGGTGCCCATGTAAATCTTCATTAGCTTGAAAGAAATGAGTGAAGCAGGAGAGCAAGGCAAGAGGGAGAGAAAGGACAGCTTGCTTTGTAGCTGTGGGGTTTTTTTTAAAAATTATCAGCAATTCTTGCCTACTACCAGGAAAAATCACCTCTCAGAAACCATTCTTCTGTCTTTCAGTCTTTAAAGGAAACAAAGAAAATATCTTCTATTAAAAAGTTCAGTGTTTACATACAAAAATAGGTGCCATTGTGGTCATGATGAACTAAGAATGCAAGCAAGGCAAGGGGTCTATCAAGTTATACATTTAAGCCTCATTCTTTAGACCAAATGATATAGTTGGAAATAACCAGCAAGTTCTGGGCTATGCAAGACTTCTTCTGTCTACATTCATTGTGCTTGAATCCTAGCTCGATGTTGCAGTACAGAAGAGACATATTTTATTAAAATATTTATTACTTCCTGCCTTCTTGAAACCTAATACTTATATGTTACTCTCAGAGCCACATGAAGATTTCCCATACATCAACAAGCTAGTAACAGTGAAGATAGCCCCAGTGCCCGATGGCAACTGGACTGGCACACCTCCTGCTCCTCAGTGTCTGGAGAAGAGTACCAGAACAAGGGATCTCTTTTAAAAACAGCGAGAGAGTGCCTGCAGGCTGGGAGAGCTGGTTTAGTTCTGGACTCCTCCATCCCAGTGTTTTGTGAGGTCTCATTTTTCTTCAAACTTTTTTTTCGAAGTTTTGAGGTTGGCTAAACCGCTGCTTAGCTGAGGGCTGTTCTAAAATGTTTATTGTTAACTACAAGCTAAACCCGAAGTCCCTTGCTGGGAGATCTTTCCCTAGACCCAGAGTTAAAAGTTGGATCTCCACAGTTTGGATTTTGGTCAGCCGATGACAGTGGAATCTTTGATGCCTGTCTCCTTATTTTGATCCTGTCTCTTGCCCCATCCAAGGACACAGAATTTAGTCAGCCGAGCTGGGAACCCAGCTGGGCTCTGCATCGGCCCGCTTCCCCAGTGCATCCCGTCGGGGAGACAGCACCCCTCTACAGCCAGCCGGGACTGGGGTGTGGATGGTGGGGGGGTGGTTACGTTCACACTCTCAAGCCCCCATCAGGCTGCAGGCGCTTGACAGCCCCTGCCTGCCCGCGGGGGACCCAGGCAGCAGCCCCCAGGGAGCGGGGAAAGGCACTGCCGCGGATCCTTTTCGGTCCTCCGCCCCTCGGCGGGCTCGACGGCTGGAGCCGCTGCAGATCAAAGGCTGCCCAAGACACCGAGCAAACCTAGCAGAGATGGCAGCTCCCAGCCACTACGCTGTTTGTCTGGGAAACAATAGGAAAGCCTTTGCCAAGCTGGAGAGACTTTTTTTTTTTTTTCTCATGCGAGGTAGCCAAGAAAAGAAAAGTAGGGGAGACGGAGAGGAGCAGACCAAAGACGTGTCTCCCCACGGAGTTATGACCCGGCGCCCCTTCTCCAGCCCTCTCCGTCAAGTGCAGCAGGAACCCTGAGGGCGCGGGGTCTGGAGAGGGTGCGGAGCGGGACAGACGTTGTGCCACACCTGGGAGCTGTGGGACCAAGAAAGAGCGATGTGCCCACAGCCCCGGGAACGGGGCCGTCGGTCCCCGTAAGGGCCGAGGCGATGCCCTGCCCTCCCCGGGCGTGCAGCCTTGGGCCCCGGAGGAGCGCTAGGAAACCGGAGGTTTGCAAGAGACGCGCCGAAAATGCCGTCGATGGGGCGTTGGAAACATGTTCCCGGCGCGGGTGGGGGCCAGGGCATCGCCCCCGCTTCTGCCTCGCAGCCGCCTCCCCGACGGGGTGCGGGCGAGTCCCAGGGGCTGGCGGCTGCGCCCCGGGACTGCTGCTGCCTCGCTAGATCTGTCGCTGCTGGCTCCAGAAAAAGCTGTCCAAGTCCTGTTGTCTGGAACGGCTCCTGAGCTGCGGGATCCGCGTCCAAAAATGTTGAGCAATGCCGCGGACGGCCAAAAAGCCATTTCCTACTTGCTCCTAGGACTTTTCCAGGGGACTCCAGCCTGGCAGAGGCTGGCAAGTTTGCAATTCCGCGCTTAACAAAATCCGAAAGTTGGCCGCGAAGACTTTGCCCTCCCCCGGGGCAGGAGGCAGTGCGGTCCAGCAGTCCGGCGGGACATGCGGCAGGGCTGACGCTCCCGTTGCGAGAGGGGCTGTAAGCTGGAAAGTCTCCAGGTACCGAGCCTGCCTAAATTCAGCATCTTCCCTTTCGCTGAGACATACCAAAAAAAAGACGGGGCGCGCAGGGATGGAGATCGGGTCGCCTTGGGGGGGTTGTGTGCGTGCTCGGGATGTCGGGGCATTTTAGGCTACTGGGTCAGGGGGAATGAGGTGAGAAAGGGAGTCTGAAGAGGGGAAGGTAGTGAAAAACAAAGGGTGGGGGAAGGGACGGATGAGCAGCGGGGTGAAGGAAGCGAGGGATGCGAGAAGAGGGGGAGCCGCTTACTCTGTCGGTGCGCGTTCCCACTTTCCCCCCCACGGGGCGGGCACCGCCGCTGCCCACGGAGCCCCGGCGGGTCGCTCCCGCCCCCGCGGCAGGAATGCGGCGCGGTGGCCCCCGCCGTCCCAATGTGTTTGTCATTAGCGCTGCCCGCGCTGCTCGCCGCCGCACCCCGACGGCCGGCGCAGCGCCGGCTGCCTGCTCCCCTCCGCGGGGCCGCCAGCGCCCTGCGGGAGTAAGCCCCGCGCCTATCTCAGACCATCGAGGGGGAAAAAAGGAAAAAAAAAAAAGTCACCACCCCCACCAAATAAATAAAGAAAAAATAACAAGATAAAACAGGAAAAATACGTGGGAGAAAAGGTGTTAAAAAGAAAAAGGTGGGGAAACTGCCCCTCACCTCTTACCTTCTCCTTTACAATCCGCAGCCCCAATCCTGCAGATTGTAAAACATCCAAAATATGTCCACGTCTTTTGTGACTTTCCCCGCTCAGCCGCGCTCTTTCCCTCCCGCTCGCCCTCCCTCTCGATCTGACTGTAATGGTCTCACAAACCGCGTCCCGTAATTGATTCAATGTTATAGTCCATCCTTCCAAAACTAATCATTTGCTTTAAGTAAATAGCTGTCAGGAAATGAAGCCCCCCTCAGGCCCCTTCAGAATAAGAGCTGCCCTGGCTCTCCCGGCGCCCCCAGCCCCGCGGCCGGAGGCGGGCGCGCCGGCGGGAGGCTCTTACGCAGGCAGGGGGGCCAGTCTCTGCCTCCAGATTTCACCAGGCTCGCAGGGAAGGGGGAGGTTTAGCCATATGGCAGGGGCGAGGGGGAGGAAAGGGGGGAGCGGGGAGTTTTTGCACTGCAGGGGGAGAAAATAAGAAAAAAAAAAATCAGCCCAAAAAACTTTTATGAAAACTCAGAGTGCTCCCAGTTTCATGAATGAGCCTCAGACCCTCCAGGACGGTGGGTCCGGTGCCGAGCTCGATGTCCACGGTCACAGTGCGAGTTTATGGACGGGGAGTTAGATCTGGAAACGAATTCGCGGCTTCCTCCTGTCCTTTGTACACCGCTGAGCTCGGGTTTGGGCTAGAGAGATGGATGGACGGCCGTGAGCCAGCCAGGAGCAGGAGGCACTGAGAGAGAGGGAGAGAGATGAATCACTAACATTTATGAATGAAAGACACAACGAAAGGTAACCTTCATCAGGAGCCAGCCACCCAAAACCCCCCAGCTCCGACGGGACCGAGAACGCTCTTTTCTTCGTCTCTGCCTTCGCTTTTCCCGGCGCAAACAGACCCTAGTAATAGCCAAACCAGGGGCACGTCAAGGGCCAGAGGTGCCGGCGGAGGCACGGGCAGCGCACGTCCGAGCCCGTCCTGTTTCAACACGCTCCAGACGGAGCTTTGATCCCCGCCGGGGAATCAGCGCTGGGTATCTCTGCTTTGTTGGCCGTCGCTATCTGCTGGCGATAAGGGGTGGCCGAGGGATCTGCCGGGGAGCTGCCCTCGCCGCCCTTTTGCTGCAGGCTCCGTGCGGAGCGAGGCGAGCGGGGCCGGCGGGGCGAGGCGATGCGGCGGCCGCGGGAGAGGGGGCAGTGCAGCCCCAGGAACAGAGCGGAGCCTAGCGGGTCCCTGCCCGCCGCCGCCTGCCTCCTGGGGAGGGTACCGGCCCCAGAGCTGCGCCCCGGGGCTTCTCCCGCTTCCTCCCCTCCCCAGTCTGGCATCACCACCACCTTTTTCCCTTTTACTATTAAACAAAAGAAAAGTTTGTTCTCAAAGTCAAGAGCCAGGATCCAGTGCTTTTGCTCTTTACTAAGTGAAACAGAATTAAGCCTCTGAAGCGAAGATGCCCCGGAGGGAATGGGTGCAGAAATGAGAACCGACTCCCGTGGAACCGTACTCGGGCTGGGGTACCCCTGGCTGGGCTCGCGGGGTCCCCGGCGGCGCTCCCGGCCCTTTGCACGCCCTCCACTAGTGCATCCTCGGCTCGGGTGAGTGCACAACCCCGCTATTGCTTCCACATGTTCCTCCAGGAAATCATCGGAGTCAGAACTGTGAGCAGCCCCTGGTCGGAATGCTAACAGGATACCGTAATGCTTGTGAATAAACAACACGCTCCTAGTGAGTCAAAAGTATGGCAAAAAAAAAAAAATTCCCCCCAAACCCAAAACAATATAAAACAAAATCCAAAACTAAACAGCCTGCACCCCTTAATTTGTGGAGGGAAATGTTCTATCATGACTTGGATCAGAGCTGTGGGCTTTCGCAAATATAAGCCCGGCGAAGATGGGCGTCAACTGCCTGTGCGCCCCGAGGCGATCCTGCAGGATTCGGTCCTTGATGTACCGGCGTGAGCGTGTCTGGTTTAACGTGCGGGGCAGCGGAGGTGATTCCTGGAGAAGTATCATCAGGATGGGATGTAATGCGAGAGTTACTCTTGCGAAAAGAAAGAAGCAAAATGAAAGGGGAGGAGGCGCCTTCTGTTTGCAATTACCTGGCTCATTTGAATAATGCCTTTGTAATGATCATTATCGCGAGGTCGTTAACGGCTTCCACGTGGGATCTCACAGGACCCAACGAAAAATAAAAATATCAAACTGAGGGACTGGCAAATCTGCCTGCCAGGCCAGGCTGGCGCTGCAGGCGGGGGCCCGACGGCTCTGTGGAGACAGGGACGGCGGTGTCCCGTCGCCCCTTCTGGGGAGCGGTGACACTTTTGCCTTCCCTACGTTAAGGGCCCGGCTGCGCAGTCCCCACGCCCGGCGCCGGCGGGAGGTGGGCTCTGCCCGTTCTCGTCGTTGGGCCGATCCCCCTCCCCAGTATCGGTGGTGTCTATGGATTGGTCCCGCGCAGAGGAGGTGGTAGTTAAAATAAACCCTCCGGGACGTCTGCTCAGCTCTGCCCCCCGCCCTGTGTGGTGCAGGAGGGTCCCGTCCAGGGAGGCGCGGGGGACGTGGGGTTAGCGAGAGGACAAGCTGGGGGTGGGGGAACTTTTTACCATTGCGGCCCCCTCTCCTCTCCCCTCTCCTCCCGCCTTTCCCTTCCCTGAAGGGCTGGAGCATAAAGCATCCCGCTAGCCTATGTTTATGTGGCAACAGATGGAAGCTGCACGTCTTAAACAAAACTGCGGCGCCCGAGCTAGAGCCGCTCTCGCCTGTTTGTGCTCCCAGCCTACCCCCCGGCGTGGATGGGTGGGTGGGTCCCGCTCCCCGGGCCCGCGGCGCCGGCAGGAGCCGGGCATCGGGGGCACTGACGGGATGGGTTATTGCACGGCGGCTCGCTCCGCTCTCGGACGCTTCTAGGGGAGCTGGTAGCTTTCGAGCCGCCCTGTTCAGCATTCTCCCCCTGGGTAAATCCCAATTTGTTGCAAGTAATAAGCCCTTTCCTGCTGCTCTCTCCCAAGGGTGAACCGTGGAGCGGTTGGCTGGCTGACCCTATTGGACAATCCAATGGGTGGCTCGTGTGGGGGCCGAGCGGCCATCGGCGGGACGGGGCAGGCGAGAGGGCCCAGCGGGAAGTCCCGCTGTGGGGCCGCAGTCTTTTGACTGGATGAGAAAACATGTCTGGGTTTGATTATCGTTACCCACTTTCAGCGATGCACGGAATGGGAGTTACCCTTTTTACCTTTGGAACCCTTGCCTGGTGAAGAGCAGCTACAGCGTGGAGCAGAGACCCTTCAAACCCCTGAGACAGAGAGAAAACAGCGACATATCATAGCTTGTCGCTATAAATTATGTGCTCACATCTCTCTCGGGGGCAGGCGAACACAGTGGCGAGGGCTTCCTGAAACAGACGGGGACTTAGTCAGGGGACCGGCAAGGCCCTGAGCTTCTCCGAGAGATGTGCTCTGCTGGCGGTAGAGCCCTGTGTACATTTGCAGCCCTACCAGGTTTTATTTCTTTTCGTCTTTCCACAAATGCAGATTCCCTCATTTTGTTTGTTTAACAGAATTTGGCTCTGAATAGCAGGGATCCCGTGTCACCGGGAAGACAGGGAGCCAGACAAAAGAAATAACTTTGTCCGGCCTGCCTTCCCTAGCCTTTATTCCCCACATGGTTAGTTATGGTAGTTCCCCGTGCCCGTCGTTTTCCCGCTGAGGCCGCTGCTGCCACGACGTCGAGCTGTTTTCCTCTCATTGTTGCGTTTGGCTCTTGACATTAAAAGATGCCAAAACAGCCGTGGAGGCCTTATTCTTTGAAAAGCAAGCTTTGTTTTTCCTTTTGCTCCCGCTTTGACTTTTTTTCACTGAGGCAGAATAAACAGCCCGCTTTGTTTCAGAAGCAGCCTGAACCAAGTTTAGGGGTGAGGTAAAGCAAGGGGTTACCCTGCTTAGCCCTTCGCCGGTGCCTGGCTCCGCGCTCCTCTCTGCTCTGGCTCCCCAAACACCGGGTGGGGAGCCCCAAGCCCCCGTCGCTGCTCCGACGGGCGGGGAGGCAGAGCCGAGGCAGAGCCGAGGTAGAGTGGAGGTTGCGGGCGCCTGCGGGCTGCGTTCGCCACCGGCCGAGGGGGCCGGTGCCGCCGCCCGCGACACTAGAGGGCACCGGAGCCCGCGGGAGCAGCCAGCCCAGCCGGGCCCGCAGGGGCACCGCACCCCGCCGGCCGCCGCTGCCTCTGCGGTTCATTGAGCGATCGAGCGGCCTTGGAGAGAACTTTGAAGGGAGGCCGTTCTCTCACTTTCGGCAATCTAAGGGCTCCAGCCCTGTAGGTCCAGCCCCGCAGGTTCAGCCCGACCCCCAGCCGGGTTCAGCAGCTGGGGGTATGTGGCATGTTGCAAGTAAAGCAGAGAGATAAATTCCTCCCGTGAAACAAATGAAAATTTTTCCCTCTGAAATCAAAGGATATCCTCTGCTGATTCAGCCCAGGTTTGATTTTGGTTCGTAACTCCCAAGACCATTATCTCTGCCTTTGTTCTTTCAAGCTGTAGCAATTAATGTATCAGAGCAGTACAAAACCACAGCCAGACAAGGCTGTGGTTTCGTTCTGCGACTATTTACTATTAGTACCAGCTTTGCCCCCTTGGGCTACTGTGCCTGGGAACCCGTCTCTGAGCTCTGCACGTTGGAGCTCGCTGGTGTGGAGGCCACCTCAGGCATCATGCTCATAGTCATCCTTGACCCAGTGGGCATGGGCCAACTCTGACTGTGCCAGTATCGGTCCGCTGGGCTGACCACCATCTGCACAGAAGAGACAAAATAGGGTGAGCATCACCAAGTGCCAGAATCAGGAGAGACACAACATGTCTGTTTACTGACCACCCTGAATTGCTCATGCTCCAAACATGGGATGTAATTTTTCTGTGTCATGCCACAATAGGTTTTCTACCCCCTGCTACCCCCCCACAGAAAACCGTCTCTCTCTATTTCTGTGGCATGGAGAGATTCTGAACATGGGTCTTCCCTATCCCAAGGGTAAAGGAGAGGGAAAGCCATCAATACTTCCTGAAAGCTGGCAGAATTGGATTTTGTGTGGAGACAATGAGTTTTGCCCAATGCTGAAGCAAAACAGGCTAATCCCTGAGCCACCACTGGGAGTTGCAAGAGTCAGCATCCATATGCACAGTCAGCAATAAGCTCCAGACCTGGACATTAATTTATTCATTCCTCTTAGTCGTTGAATTCATTCACTCATTTTACTCTTATTTACCAAGATTATGCTGGAGGTATGTTGGCAGGAGGTATGAATTTCATTGTCATTCTTCTTGCAACACTGTGTGTTTCCTGTGCTCAAAGTTTTATAGCCCTAATCGCTGATGAAAGAAATCAAGCAGATACCAGTCACACCTAAAGCCATTCCAAGGGTGCCAGTGACTGAAGCCCACGTGTTCAATTTTCTTTATTTATTTTGGAGACAGAAGACACTGACACACTGAAAAGTCAGGGGAAACAGTTCCTCTTTTTTTGTTATCTCTACAAA